TGCCCAACAAACTAAATTCTTAATTAAAAAAAAGACACGTATAGTATATGTATGTATGTAACTTACGAGTGAAATCATTGGCGAGACAAGCACCCCATTCCTGCTTGGATAGTTTTAAATCCCGATTTAGGTCGCACGTGCGGGCGAACGTGCGTGCGCACTTCTTCGGTCTCACCGCCTTCTTGGCGAGTCTTCTGAGCTCCTTGTACTCAGCCTTATCTAAGTAGCCGTCCGCGTTCTGGTCCAGCATAAGAAATTTCCACGACAACACCCGTTCGACATTCTTATCATCTATCAACAGGAAAGCAATGTAGTTGGCCATATGCGAGATATAATTAAGAAATTACGTGTGCTAACGTGTGTGGTCGATATCGATACGAGCTTGCAATTTGAATTATCTTTTTTAAAGTTGTTACAAGCTCGCTCGCTCGATCTTATCTGATTGGGATCTGCAGTTGGTCGATTTATAATTATCGATTTATAATCGGAAGAGATCGATTAATCATAAATTATATATGTATATTCTTAACGCGATTGCTCATGTCGCTTATAGAGCTTACCCTCAGCGGATATGTTAGTCCGCCTGTATTCAATTTTGAAGTTCTCGATGAGATTTCCATTAAACTTGGACTTTTCGGTACGATCGCACGTATTTCGATGTCTATTGCTAACGTACTGACTACGTTGCTTCCTACCGACTGCAGGTGAGCGTCGCTTTTGGCCACTCCTAGTAGAAGCAGCAGCAGGTCTGGAACCGGCTCTCAAACATCTTGGTTTTTTGTATCTTACCGTTGTATCGGGCAACGGCCGGCCTTGCGGCGTTACGCACCAACAATACTCGGTCTCCGCGTGACACTGAACCGGCGCATATGTTCCATCGGGTCGGCAGGCAGGCCGTACGCCCTGTCGAGCGGTCAGTCTTGCTGAGAAGCACGCCGGGGTTTCTGAATAAAAGTCATACATGTCTTGTCATGTCACTCGTTCAACTTGACTTTCATCTATTGCAACGTACCTATTATACATATATCTATATGAGCCACAACAGACAGTTTAATTTTAATTTCTGTATCTAATAGACAAAAATCTGCAATTTGAAAGAGAGAGAGAGAGAGAGAGAGAGAGAGAGAGAGAGAAGAGAGAGAGAATGAGGGGCGGGGAAAATGGAAAGCTAAACTCGGACTGTAACCGAAAAATTCCACAGATACAAACTTTTGTATGTGTACGGCGTATGTGACAAAACAGAAATAAAGGTACAAACCTGGACAAGGGCCGGTGTGTTTGATGAGGACAGACACGCCTTGACATTGCTTAGAAATGACTTGGCATTGATTGGAGTACGTGAATCCGTCACTTCCGCACACGGGTGTGCTTCCACCGCCATTCATCGTGCATTCAGCTATTCTTTTCCTACACTCTTCCTGTAATAAAGGAAAATTTCACATGCTGTGAAAATGATGATCAATTCCTTTTTTTTCCTTTTTTCACAACAAGGCGTAAACATGAAAAGAAAATATTTCATCAGATAACTGAACACACAAGATGCAGATTTTTTTGCATAGAATTATATGAAAGGAATTATAAAATACTACAAATACATTCTCCTTACATGCAACTGTATAAATGGACTTTGCTTACAATTAAATAAAATTTTGAAAGATTTGATCTATTACTGCAGATCGCACGGATTGCCTACGGATATAAAAAAAATTTAAAATTTGTGAGGAAACTTGTATAATTACTTTTGGCAAATTTCAAATTCTTTAATATCAGATATCCGCAGATATTAATTAGTTTATAGGCATCAAAATTAAACTTAAATTAAAATTGTACAGACTCAAGTATATCTGTAATAAATAGAATTGGCAATTATTATTTATTTTACAATTATTCTCAATGCAAACCCTAAATGTTGGATATAGAGATATATTATATGCCAATAACAGTTTTGATATACGTACGGTTGACATATACTTTTTACATATGCATGTAATATTATATATGAACATTAAAGCCGTCAAATTATACATTCGTTAATTGATATATGATTACTCGTACAATATGTGATGTTTCAGTGGCGGAAACCTCGACGGAAAGGGAATTATAATTACTCGATCGCCTTTTATCATAATTAATTTAGATAAGGAGGAAACGAATAACTACGATATAAAAGGAAAATGATTTTCTCTTACTCTGCAACATCGGGAATCACGCGTACATGTTGACTACGTTAACGTTACGGAAATTGATCGAATTCTGTTCGATTTCTTATTCGCACATATCTCGCACGCATTCTCTCATACATGCAATTTCGAAAACGTTCTCATTGTCGCTCCCGAATACTTGTTTAAAGCAAATTGAAAGTGCGAATCTTACAGATTTTCTTCATCATTTCATGTTGTTGGAATGAAATTCGCGCTGTTCTACAACAGAATTGGTAAAATTACTAAAAACAGTGAAAGTTTCGCCATTTCAAGTTTCGTCTTTCAAATATTACGCTATAACATATCATTTTGATTCTTACGATCTTTCTTTCGCTTAATGTTTAAAATTTTAGTTTAAAACTTAAAACTTGAAAAATGCATTGCGCAATATTTTAGAGAGAGAGAGAGAGAGAGAGAGAGAGAGAGAGAGAGAGAGAGAGAGAGAGAGAGTTAAATATAA